ATTGGGACAGTTGTGAGGATTTTGGTCTTCTTTGCATTGAGTTGCAATCCACACTGAAGGGTGCAATCCTGGATCTTCATCACAAGTGTTTCAAGTTCTCTTCACTTTCAGCAACCAATGTTGTAGCATTTGCATATTGAAGGTTGTTGATAAGCCTTCCCCCAACCCTGATTCTACATTCTTCTTCATATAAGTCAGCATCTCTGATGATTTTCGCTGCATACAGATTGAATAAGTATGGTGAGAGGATGCAACCCTGACTCACACCTCTCCTGATTTTTAACCTTGCAGTCTTCCTTTGATCTGTTCACACAACTAGCACCCTGGTCCATGGAGAAGAAATCCCATTCTTCTCAAAGCTGTTTATTATTTGTTCTGGTCCACATTCTCAAATACCTTGGCATAGTCAATAAAAGACAATTAAACATCTTTCTGGTATTCTCTGCTGTCAGCAATGACAATGCTTTTTCCGTGTCTTCTTCTGAATCAGCTGGAACCTCTGGCAGCTCCCTATTAATGACCTACTGAAACCGTTGTTGGACAATCTTTAGCAAAAGCCCTGGGCATTAGTGAGCCGAAATGGACTTGTATTATCCATTTTGAGTTGGACAATATATAGCATATCATATGACAATTAACTAACAAATTGTAGAGAAATGGTGTCACATTTATAGTCAAAAGAACATTTTAAAATCAATTCTGGTATGAGCCCCTAATAAAATGTTAAAAAAATAAATAAATAAAATCAATTCTATAGCATTGCACGGTCAGCGATACTATAATGTATTAGGCAGGGTTCTCTGGAGAAACAAAACCAGGACACTTATGATTTTATATAGATATAGATTTATATATATGGATAGGTTTATATAACAAGAAGGAATCTAACAGCTAATTAGTCCACACAGAAGTACAGAGGGTTCAGTTCAACTCACTTCTGTGGAACAATTAATATACCGGAAGTGCTTCAAGTCACATGGGTTGCCAAGTCCAAGGTCAAGGAAGCAGACAGCAGAGTCCTAACTGGGGCAAGGCAAGCAGAGTCTGCCCACAGGCAGCAAGCAGCAGGGTGGGTCACCAAGTAGCTCAGGAGCTTAGCAAAGCAGGCCCGATGGGATATCAGGCACAAGCAATACAAGGCAATGGAATCCGCCAGCCTCAAGCTCAACCAATGTACGCACCAGCAGTGTGGCGAAGCAGGTCTCGAAGGGCCTTCAAGCTCTAGCTACACGATCCAGGAGTTGGCCTGGCCCACAGGTAATATAGCTCACAGGTTGAGGCAGAGAACTAGCCAAAGCAGCAGCAGGCGTGCTCCATCATGCTCTGATGTGACTGGAATGTGAAAGTTGGAAACAAAGAAAAGGACAGTCATGGAAAAGGATGGCCTTAGCAATAGAAGTGAAGCTAGAGATCCCGTGACAAAATTTTCCAAGACCATTGACTTCTTTGTTGCAAATACCTTTAAAAAATAACAAACAGTGATGACACAAGTGGACCATGCCAGATGGAACACAAAGACATCTGTGTTAGGCAGGGTTCTCTAGAGAAACAAAACCAGGACACATATGATTATATATGATTATCTATATTATAATCATATGTATATACAGTCCCACATGTAGTATAGCTCACAAGTTGAGGCAGAGAACTAGCTAAAGCAGCTGCATGCTGGCCCAATCACCAGAGAGCAATAGACAGAGGAGCGGGCCTTGCCAAGCCATTTATCTTTTTCCCTCCAATCAAACTGCGACCTTATTAACCCCACATGTTCCCATGGGCCCGGTTGGCATGATCACCCTACCGGTCACAACATCAAGTTGCCTACAGCTGTGGACAGAGATAGGCAGCTTGGCGCCACAGTGGCTATGTGTGGACTACCAACCACAAAGTCAACAGTTTGAAACCAATTTTCTTTTTTATTTTTATTTTAAATAAATCATTTTATTGGGGGCTCTTATAACAACCCATACATCAGTTGTATCAAGCACATTTGTGCATATGTTGCCATCATCATTCCCAAAACAATTTCTTTCTACTTAAGCCCTTGGTATCGGCTCCTCTTTTTCCCCCTCCTTCCCCAATCCACCTACTCTGGTGAACCCTTGATAATTTATAAATTACTTTTATTCATATTTTGCACCATCTGCTGTCTCTCTTCACCCATGTACCTGTTGTTCATCTATCAAATATGTTACTTTGAGGACCAAGGTACACCAGATGCAAGCCATGCTATATTCCATAGCCTCATATGCATGTGAATGTCGGGCATTATGTTAGTCCAGGTTGACTAGAGAAAAAAAATCCAGAGACACTCATCTGTGTGTAAGAGAGAGCTTTATATCAAAGAGTTAATGTATATTAAGAAAACATCCCAGCCCAGTCCAGATCAAGTCCATAAGTTCGATATTAGTCCAAATATCCGATACCAGTCTATAAATTCCTCTTCAGACTCATGAAACACATGCAATGACGCCAAATTCAGGAATATCACAGGCCAGTGGGTGGAAAGTCTTGAGGATCCAGTGGCAGTGGAAGCCTCTCAGCACTGGCATGAGTCTCCATGTGGCTCCTCTAGCTCCAGGGTTCTGGCTCTCTCAGTCCTGCTCCATGTGGCTTGTCAACAGGAATGTCAAGCAGAGAATCTGTATCTGGACTCTAGTGAGCTATTTCTTTCCATAGTGCCTCCAAATGAGGTCATCAAGGTGCAACCCAAACTCCACCCCTTCACTCTAATAGTCTCGAGTTGACATCAGATTATGTAACTACCACAGACATTGAATAAATAAGTTAATGCATTTGAATTATGATGCTTGTGAAGAATCTTTGCAGTTCCACACACTGTCATAAGAACAAAAAGATCAGTCTCGCAGCAAGTAAGGAGAGGATGGCGAGACTCCTTTTATACTTTGTTGTCAGGAGAGACCAGTCTCAGGGAAGACCTTCAAGTTGGATGGACACAGAGGCTGCATCGATGAGCTCAAACATAACAACATTTGTGAAGAGGCACAGGATCAGGCCGCGTGTTATTCTGTTGTACGTAGGGTTGTTATGAGTCAGAACCGACTTGATAGCAGCTAACACCACCAACAACGTGTTACAGAGCAAAGGTGTCACTTTGAAGACGATGTTGTGCCTGACTCAAGCCATGGTATTTTCGATCACCTCATGTGCACCTGAACACTGGACAGTGCTAAGGAAGATCATAGAAGAATTGATGCATTTGAAGTATGGTGTTGATGAAGAATATTGAACAGACCACGGAGAATTAGAACTAACGAATCTGCGCTGGAAGAAGTACAGCACAAATACTTCTTTAACACGAGGATGGTGACATGCCGTCACATTTACTTTGGATATGCTAACAGGAGGCACCAGTCTCTAGAGAGGATAGGGTGCTTGATAAGTGAGAGGGTCTGGGGAAAAGCCGAAGCTACTCAAGGAGCCGGAGCGACACCGTGGCTACACAGCCGTCTGAAACAGCAATGATTGTGAGGATGGTGGAGGCCTAGCAGTGGCTCATTTTGTTGGATGTGGGTTGTTATGAGTTGAAGTTGACTTAAGGGCTTCTGACAATAAAAAGAGCTTCATAGCACTCATACAAAGTGCTCAGGATTTCAGCCAGTAGGATGATTATTATTTCTTTTATTCCTTAAGGAGTGAAAATCTGGAATATGTTCTCCTGGGGCTACGCACGCCTTTGTCCATAGAGCCAGAGGCATCATTCCCTAATCACAGGCATGACTTCATGTGTGCCTGTCATGCGTAGCCTCCCCTGAACCAAAACTTCTCTGAGCTTCCGACCATGATCTGACTTGGTGCTCCTCCGAAGTGGCTTTTCCTGCTAGTGCTATTTACCAGTTTTTGAATTGTGCAAATCATTTCACCTTTCAGAATCTTAGCACCCTCGACTTGACACTTGAAGAACTATTTAATTGTACAATTTTTTTAATTGGGAAGTATTGGTTTAAATTATGTTAAACAAACTTGAGTTATGAGGTACAAAAGGAGTAGAGACAACAGAGTGCCTGGGATAGAAGAGTCATTGAGAATCACTTCTCATCTTCCCTTTTTTAAAACAAACGATGGTAATTAACTCCCTTCCACTGGCCATTCTGGTACAATGGATTTGGGAGATACTTGCCCTGGGCTGGGGTCCAGCCATCACTACATTGACAAGCTCACCCAGTGGTTGTAATGTTCAGACATGAAAGCCCACACTCACCTTCTGAACGGTGGAGTTAATCCAGAGCCCCTGACCCCTGCTCTTCTGACTACAGGCTGACCCCAGGTTGTAGGCTGAAGGAGGTTTTCTGAACGATCCTTTCTGTGATACAAGGTATTAAATAAATATCTCTTTTAAGCACTTCTGGTGGTTTGTTTCCTTTTAATTAAAGTTTCACCCTTCTAGTTCTACCTTAACTTTACGCTTTTATTTTGTCTTACAATGATGTGCTCAACGGCCCTTTATTCCCACATGTCACTTGTGCTTATCTCTTTCAAATCCAGTTCTAAGATGTAATTTTGTCTCCGAATTCCTCTTGACAAAGTTAGCCAGGATCAAACAGTTCATTTTTCACTGTTTGTTCCCTTTGGTCTGTATTAGATTCTCCCCGTCTGCGCCTGTGTGTCGATGTGATTGTGATGCGCTGTGTTTTCCCGTGAAATTCAGAGCAGAGCAGAATCAAGTGCCTTCTCCCTTGTTGCTTTGTGTGCACAGTCGTTCTCTGCGGTTTGGAAGTCATGTAGACTTCTGTCCTGGACCAAAATGTAATTGGGATTATGCTACCTTTTTCATTACCTATTTCCATTAAGTTGCCTCAGATTTCTTAAATACTGATGTCCTTAAGTACAGTAATGGTTGGTTAAAGTTAATTATGGAATTGATATGTGTTAAGTTCTCCCTTGCTAATTTTACTTGGGCTGTCTAAGGAAATCTCAGCTTAATAAAATTAGCTAAGCCAAAACAATTCATACCGTTCTATGTTCTTTGACCTTTTTAGGAATCTTCCTGAGAACCCCTGCACCTGTTTACTGCCGGCTTGGGCCAAAGCTGCTCTCAGCTGTGGGCACTCTCCTGAGGGAACGATGACTTTTCTGGCCCAGTGGACCTCCTGAAGGTGAGAAGAAAACAGTTCTGTGTCTTAAGAAATCTGAGCGAGTGGCTCTGTTTCTCACAATCTGCTTCTTGAAAGCAATGAATAGGAGACCAGGTTGTTGAGGAGAACTATACATGATCGTGAGTTTTCCTTTTCAGGAGAATTTGTTCCTCTGCTTTTTTCAGAAGGATGTCTATGGAGTGTATTTGACCTTGAAATTCTGATTGATGAAGACTAATTTGACTTCTCTGTCTCTGTCTCCTTCTCTCTCTCTCTCTCTCTCTCTCACACACACACACACACACACACACACACACACACACACACACACACACCAACAGCATTTTTGCTCACACCATAAAGAAATTCCTTATAAATTTAGGGGAGTCTAGGTGGTAAAATGGGTTGTGTGTTGGGCTGCTCACCACAGGGTCAGCAGTTCAAAACCACCATCTGCTCTATGGGAGAAAGATGAAATTGTTTTACTACTCTAGAGATTAATAGTTTCTGAAATCCAAAGGGGTAGTTATACTGTCTTGTACTGTCACTATGAATCCAAATCAGCAAATTCATTGATGGCAATGAGCTTGGCTTTGTTTAAGGGCTGCCATACCTTGCCTCCTAGGTTATTGTAAGGATCAAACAATATAACAAGTGAAAGCTCTTTGCAAACCATGAAGTACTATTTGCATAAGTAAGAAAAACATTCACTACTATTCGCAATCATTTATAATTCTCTGAAATTCTCTCTACTGTGCACTGTGTTGCCTAGGGTTTGGGGGCTGCTCCTGGGGGAGTGAGTTCGTGCATTCTTCAGTGGGTGGTGCCACAGCCCCTCCTTCTGCATCTTCCCAGCGTTCACCCAGAATGTGGTCAGGGGCCTGTCCTAACAGAAGCTGCACTGTTTGGGTAGATCAAGTCTACCCAAGTTAGACGTCTGCAGTACATTGCTCAGAGCCTTCTTTGAGAGAACATCATGGGTAAAAATTTTAAATTCACATAATACAATAGTACTATTTTGAGTGAATTTTACTTGATGGTTATCATCTTAATTAGCTCACTGATTTTTTTTTCTTTCTTATTACTTGTGGGAAATTACAAAATCCTCCCCTATTACTCCATTACTATTTCCCAAGAACTTCCAAGATCATCTGATTTATCACTTTCCTTTTTATGCAGAAGTGAATTAATTTTAAGCAGAATTAAGCAGCTTACTCAGCATTAAGATCGGGAGTCACGGCTACAATCCCTGTAAACCCACTCTGCCTTTTCTGCCTCTTCACTTTCCCTCTCTCCAAATCCTCATCAAACTACGAAGTTATCTATATGTCTTCAAACTAGGAATTGAATTGCTGAGATTTATTAGGTCAATCTCAATAGAGTCAACAAACAGGTTTCACTTTAATCTTTCAGGCTGTGAGTGGGGTTCTCCAACTCCAGCCATCTCCCTCTCTGTGTGGAAGAAAATGTCCAAGAATGCCAGTGGATATCTGAAATTTCAGTCAGTACCGAACCCCATATATAATTTAATTTCCATTTTGTACAACCTAGGATTAAGTTTAATTTATAAATTAGGAACAGAAAGAGACTAGCAACATTAACTAATCATAGAAGGGAACAATTATTAAGTAAAATGAGGGGCATTTTAACATACCATCACCAAACCCACGGCCACGGGTTAGATTACAACTCATAGTGACCCACTATAGGGATTCTGACACTATACATCTTTAAGGGAACAGATAGCCTCACCTTTCTCCCATGGAGACACTGGTGGGTTTGGGTCTCGGACCTTTCCATTAGCAGTACAATGCGTACCCAACATCACCACCAAACCCTTTTGATTCATGACAGTCAATCTGAAAGCCAAGGTGGCTGATAAGTGACTATTGGATGGGTGGCATATAAAGTGTGGCTGCAACTGGATGATTCACATCTCCGAGGGATGGGGCTGGATGGTGTCATTTAAGTGGTGTGTATTTTAAAGTTTGTGAATTGTTTCTTTCTGCAATTTTTGCATTTACCATTTTCAGACTGGTGTTGACCACCGGTAACAGAAACCCAATTCCAAAGGGACTGCTGATTGTTTTAATTGTGAACACTGCTACTGTTTTTGGCATCCTTTATTTATATGGTCCTGCCCCTAAAATGAAGAATTGGAACAAAATCACAGCCAGCTGTGTTTAGATTTCAGTTATGAAAAGACACTCATCAACGAGTTGAAAACCAACATCATTTAGTACTAGATATTTAGGATCTGGCCAAATACATTTTCCATCTCACGTGACTATGTATAGAAAATGAATTCATGGAAATGCTGAGTTGGTGTAACTTAGAATGACGGCACATGCATGCAAGTGGTAGGTGGTCTTGAAGACAATGACTTGTTCTCTGAAATTCACAGAATGGCCAGTCATTGCTGTGAAACCAGTGGGCTGTAAATTGTCAGGGGGCATGTTCAAAACATGATTCACTCATCCAAGAGCTGCCAGGGACAAAGGAATTTCCACTCATTAATGTGCACGATGTGAGGGCTGTCTCTCCCTCTTTCAGGCTCTCTGTCTCTCTCTCTCCTTCTCTTTTCTCTCTCGCTTCCTGTCTCTGTGTCTCACCCACAGTCTCTCTGGGACAGATACATGACTCTCTAAGAAACCAGGAGATCCTGGACAGGACACGTTTATGGGGCTGGCAGTGGCATCTGAAGCAGCTTCAATGGCCCTTTGTTTGGAAAAGGGTGAGAGTTTGGGGAGACGTTGTCTGGCATATGCTCCATGCTGGCCTTTCGTATCGCTTGGCTACATTGGGCAGTAGGGTAACATGAGCGGAGATGAACAGATATAGAAACCACTGTAGTCAGTGAACATAGGACTGTACGGTGGCAAATCTATTTTCTTCATTGAGGTTTGGCTTGGTAGTGGGGGTCTTCTGAATGAAGGTACTGTGGGCAAAGGACCGAATGCAACAGCATTGGGTCCTTGAATTTTGCTCTGGTTCTAAGGTGAAGGTGGCAAACACTATTATTTAAACACAGCAATGGCTAATTCGTGCTAGCTGTAGACTTGCTAGTTCAACAGATTTGGAGTTTGACATGGCATTCAAAGGGGCCTTCCTTTAAAAAGCTCAGAGCACAGAGCTCTGCCAAAAGAGGGTCGTACATGGAAAACTCAGATTGGGAAGCAGAAGCCACGTGTAAATTGCCAGTTAGACACTTTTGAATGGGCCATCCACCAGCGGGCTTGAATCATAGTTAACAGTAAGATGTGTTACCCTGTAGTGTGGGATTTAGAAAGAAAGAGGAGAAGAACTGCTGAGCCACTAACTGCTGATACAAATCCAATCCCACCACAAAGGCCCTGGGCTTCGCATCAGCAGTTTGTCTCCGTTCTGGTGGCGGATGATGACCACGGGTTTCCAATCAGATTACGTCCTGCTACATTAGGATTTTCACTCTCCACTGCCTTTTGTTGTTGGGATATTTTCGAAATTATTCTTGATTCCGGTTTTCTATTAACTTTTGAACCCCAGCTACTGCACTAATAGCTTGTAGATTGTGTTAAAAATGGCAAGGGGGACTTAGAGAACTAAGTTTTGCCTTAGTTATTGGACTAGCAAGGCAGCATAATATGAATTAATGACTTTTCACATTTTCTCATAACATAAGCTGTAGGCTTGGTGCCCTGGAGACCAACTTTAAATGCATGCCTTAATAAGCCATTGACAGTTGTTGGACTTTTTAGCTTTTAAAGGCTTCTACAAGCTTCTAGACAATGGATACATAGCATAAATAATAAATAATATTGATTTTAAACTTTAAAACATTAAAAATTTTCTCATTGTAAAATGGAAAAATGAGACAAAACTTCTTCACAATCAATAAATATAATTATTTATGCTTTTTTTTTAGAAGCAAGAGCCATTCAGCGGCAATGGTGTCTTTCTAATAAGATTAGGGAGAATAAAACTTAAGAGGAAAAGCTAAAGATTTTTTAAAAATGTATTGTGTTTGCAAAACTACCTATAGAAGCTTCTGTTCACCCTCTAATAAAACTTTCCATTTAGAAGGTGCAGTTGGAAGAGGTGCCACCCCCCCACCACTAATCACGGGTTCAGTAAGCACAATTGTACAGTTGATATATATAAAGGTTATAGTAAAGTCATCGAGAGCATGAGAGATAGAAGAGAGATTGGAATAATGGAGTCAGACACATTTCATGGTAGCATGCTCACCTCCTGGCTGGCCATGATCTTACCAGTCAGGTCCGCACACAGCTTCGGCCGATGCTAGGTGGGGCAGGGACCCGGCAGGAGGTTGGAGGACCAGTTTATTGCTAACCAAGGGTTATCTTTACTTCGGGGGGCATGACTGCAGGTAACCGCACATCACAGGAAGGGGCAGTACCATAGGCATACACATTATAGGAAGGGGATGTACAATGGGCATAGAGGTAACAGGAAGGGGATGAGCTAGGGCTGTACACATGACAGGAAGGGGAGGAACTAGAGGTATACATGTGACAAGAAGGGCCGGCCCTAGATTCATGATGCTGGCCTAATCTTGGCCACCCTTGGGTGGGCATGACCTCTCTGGGGTCTCCTTCAAGGAAACAGACAACTACTATCCTTATCAGAAGGGAGTGGGCCCTACTTGTGGGATAAACAGTGGTGACTGCTTGCTCTAGATGGCTGATGACCCTTAGGGAGAATAACCTCTGATCTACTTCTGATGACCTCCAAGTGTATAGTCATTTGCAAGCAGCTAAGTTTGGCATATATTTGGGGGAGACAACTTGGGAGAAATCCTTCTGTTTCCCACAAGAAGGCAGTAGACTGTCATGGATAGGGTTATTCAGAAATGATACTACCCACTTGGTACTTAACCTGTGCCCAATATTTCAAATTATCCTTTCCCCTTCAATTGCCCATCTTGGCGGTCAAGACTCTCCTGTTGTCTTCTATGTCATCCTATTAGGCTCTGTGTGTCACACCAAGAGTGTGAGTGAGACTCAAAGGGGGGAAAAAGG